GTGTGTGTGTGTGTGTGTGTGTGTGTGTGTGTGTGTGTGTGTGTGTGTGTGTTTATGGGGTTTGTGGATCCCATTCCTCCTATTGTGAATTTGTGATGCAAATAATATTTTTTACATTGTAGACATTGTTTTCTTTTCTCTTCTTTTTGTCTCTCTTGTGTGAAGATTGGAAGTTCTTTTACTGTTTTTTGTTTCTTTCTCTTCAATTTTTGTTCACCTCTGTCTTTTCTCACATGCAACTTTTCAGTCAAAAGGAGGGAATTAAAGCCCATCATTTTAAGGAGCCATTTTTGTTTCCATTTTCATTCCCCTGCATAAAAATAATTCACACTGAAAGGGTGTGTGCCTTTTTCAGAGCCCTTTGAATTTTCCACTGGTACTCTAGCCAAAATGAATAAATAAATAAATAAACAAAAGGAGATGCTACAATCCCGTTACTAAATCATTCCATCGAGATTTGTAACCATCAAATCAACTATCCCGACGATTATCTAACGGTTATAAACCCCGACGGAATGGTTCTGTAACGGGACCGTAGCATTTTCCTTTGAGAGACACCTATGGCTTCAGTTTTGCTTTCATCTAATCATGTGCATAATAATGCAGGTTGAGGTAGAAGCACTGGTAATCCAAGGACCAAAAATGGCCACAGTAATGAGCCAAGTGAAAAAGCTTGAAGTTTCTGTGCTGGTTTTAGGTCAGAAGAAACCCTCCCCACTACTCAATTGGTAAGTCCAATTTGTTCACTTAGAAAAAAAAATTAAAAAATAAAATACATTGGCTAATTATTGAATAAATTTGTCTCAATTGCTGTAATTAAATTTTCCCTTTGTATTTTTCAGCTTTTGTTTCAGAAGCAAGACAGATGAATTTGTGGAAGAATGCATAAATACATTGGAGTGCTTAACAATTGGAGTCAGAAAACAGAGCAATGGAGTTGGTGGGTACCTTATCAGCACCAGATGGCACAAGAATTTCTGGCTTCTGGCTTAAAAAATAAAATAATCACTTTTTTTATAATGAAATTATTTAGGAAAAATAATGTAATTTTGTTGCAAAAATATTATGTAGAGTACTTATGTGGTATTGGCATGAAGGAGAATAATATCAGTTGTAATGTTTAGTTATTTAATTACTCCTCTCCAAACAACTACTACTAACTAGATCTCTTGTAGTATCATCTTGGAATATATATAATCTATAACCCATTTGTGTGTGCAATGTAATATGTCTTCTGCTTTTAATTTGCTAGTGTTGAGATACAAATGACAAAAAGGATGATCCACAAGCCCGGAAGTTGCGTCCCTAATTTTTTGGCGCATAAGGTTAGGGTGCGGACCAATTACCCGACACTCTAGGTCGCACCTCGGCCTTTGGGAGGATGGTGAAGTAGGCGGTTGAGCTAAGCAAATACTATAGTCTTTTCCAACAGGGGTCTCACTCTGTCTAGACTGTGAACAGTTAATTGATTGAATTTTTCTTTCCTACAAAGGACCAGAAGAAGCTATACTAGTAGAAAATTGCCTAAACTTTATCACACTTTTAGGGGGTAATTTTAATTTAAAAAGATATTCATAAGGGTAAATTATGATCACCACAAGAAAAAAGAATACAGAAATAAGATTATCACTCAACTGATTTTTCCACTAAGTTCCAACAAGAACCACTTTGCTGATTACTGAATAAAATTAAAAGATAGAAAACAAGGGGAAAAAAAAAACCTTTCTCAATTTTCAATTAGGCCTCTGCCCCTGCTAAGTGTTCAGAAAGGGTGAATGGTACTGAAGATAAAACTGTCTCCTTTCCTATAGTAAAATACCTATTTATCATACTTCTCTTGCTGCCCAGATAACTGTTTTTCTCACGCGAAAAAAAATAAAAACTCAAACTTTGTCGTCCAATTTATCGCTACTAACCAAAGGGATGAGCTCGATTTTGTTGCGTGGTGTCCGCGGGGTCCCGGGCGCTTGCTGGGAGAGCAAGTGCCTCACGTACCCATAGAAAGTACACCCGACTAAGGTAATACCACACCCAACGGCATTCATCATGGAGATCGGATTACGGAAAATCAGCCACGAGCATGTAACAGCAACAGCAACCTTACATGAAAAACACATTAAACTAATGATTCATTTATTCACTTTTTGAAGAAAACTAGGACTATGTAAAAGTGAAAAAATGGCTCATTCCTTCATCAATTTGACCAAATCTCCAGGTAGCCTATGTCACTAACACTAGCTATTATGAATATAACTTGTCCAACAAGAATATATTTTCAGTATAGATTTTAATAAGTAATTAATGTGTGAGAGACTAATAGGATACCATAACTCAAGAAAGAAAACCCCACCTTAAGATTTCCAGCAACATTGAAGGTCACAGCAGTTGTCGAGTGGATAACATAAAAGATAGAGAAATTGAGACAAAAGGCCAATACACCCGACCCGAATATGATCACCAGAGACGAGAAAAGAGAGGGGCACATGTAAAGCCAACTGACGACACCTGATCCTTCTAGAAGCAATGCTGGCACAGCCAATATCATTGTTGCAAATGGCGCCATGTAGTATACTGTATTTATACTGTACTCACACAAAATAGAGAGTACAAAAATAGATAGATTTGGCATTAGCATTAGAATACAGATAATTCAAAATAATAATAATAATATACTGATATATAGAAACCATTTCCTTAAAATCAGACAGTTGGGAGTATCAATAAAAGTTGGTTAATTAGCACGGCGATTTAGTAAAAATATACAAAACCCGGATAAAGTACTAATCCAAATTAGGATATGTGACAATGACATGGGAAGAGTATTAGGAATTGCTTGTACAGTGATTTTAATTTATCTATCTGGCAAAACAAATAAACAAAAGTTGATAACAGAAACTGCCCTAACTTTTAGTTTAATCACAAAGAAATAGTAGCGTCTTCATCTCATAGTAAAAATAAGTCCTTACACTTTCACTCACCTAACAAATAGTAGCGTCTTCATCTCATAGATTATTAAACTTTCGGAAGACAAAAGTACGTTTCAGGGGGTTATTTGTAACTGATAAAAAAGAAATAGTAACTGGATTCTTTTGTGATCTGACTAACCCTTGGAAGATAGTTTTTTGTTTCACAAATAAATAAAATAAACCTGTCTTTATATTAATATATTTTGTTAAGTCCTGCTTCCTAATTAATAGATATATCCACAAAATTCACAAGACAGAAGAAAAAGAAAAATAAGAGCCATCTTGGTAGTAAGACTGTAAGAGTGACAAAATGAATACAGAGCCATCTTGGTAGAAAGAGTGACAAAATGAATACAGAAAAGATTCATAATTTACCAACAATGTTAAAAAGAAAACAATCGAGGTATCACAAATTACCTGTCGAATTTGTATCCATGCAACAAAGACTCCGCAAGAATTGTTTTTGTGGACGTTGCAAGACAGCCGAACAAAGCAGCACAAAAGCCGAGCATGTTAAAACTGAGCTCTGTGATTGAAGTGAGTAGAATCCCACCAACAATAGGAATCAGGGAAGCCCAAATTCGCCAGTCAAAGTACTTTTTCCAGATTAGCCACTGCAGGATGACTGTTTCAAGAAGGAATAACAAACAACAGTATTTCATCATTAGTGTGAAATGATAATTACAAAAGCCAACTGTAAGGTTTGGGAATTTACATAAAAATAACTAAGGTGGGTTTTATATATACATAAAAATGGCATTCTTGAGGTCTGGTTCATTTTATGAACCAGAACAAGGATATGAGACGAAGCTATTTGGTATTCTTCCCCTTCATCCGTAAAAAGAGAAGTAATCCCAATTATATAGCAGTTAACCCTTAAAACTTAAGGCACATTCAAACCCAAAGGGATCTCTCATTATTTTTAATTTTTTTTATTTTTCATATTTCTTTTTATAATTACCCAAGTTAAAGAGTAGTTCTGTAATCATCCTTTAATGTAACACAAACACAGACAATGATAAAACTCACCTGTTGTAGCAGGAGTAAAAGACTTGATAGTCTGCATGAAAGAAACAGGTATATACCGCAGGCTAACATTCCCCAAAACTATGTTGATACAAAATATAAACGACATTGGAAATATCCTTCTCCATCGATCTTCAGGGTCAACTGTGATTAGAGGCTTCAGTTTTAGCACTTTAATCACCAAGTAGGCACCGATGGCCGAGGATATAAAGTGAATGCACGACACAGTCAACGGAAACTTAAAGTCCAGTTTCTGTCAACAACATAAGAACAATTTAAATTGATTTTCAAAAACAACATAGAAAAATATTAGACATGTTCATAACTTGTACACTTGAGAGCAGTAAAAGGTGAAACTTTAATAGAACACACAACCCAGGTTACAGGACAATGTGAGAGTTTCATAACAATAGCAACCAAGTGATAGGCCAACACTAATTAGTCATCATCAATAAATATATGGTCTCACCAACCTATCACTTATAATGACCATATGTTGTCCTAGATTTTTCCATAGGCAACATGATTAAAGTTTCTAACTTCGGTAGATTTTAAAATTCGCAAAAGAATACATTAATAAACATAAAACTCATTTGCAAAAACCAACAGTAGATGCAAGAAATAAATACTCATCACTTGTAGTTCTGATACAGGTTTAGAACAGGATTGAAACTACAACACCTCAAGAGCACAAAAATCCGAAATTTCGACAATTTAAATCGTTATTAGAGCTGGAACAACAAAATACAACAAAGCGCATCGAAAATAAATTGGTGGTCTGAAAACCCATCTCTAGGTTCACCGTTGTCTAAATTATGAAACAAAATCCAGATTGACCACCATAATTCCAGCTGAACCTCAGCAAGAATTAACACAAACACACATGAATTCTGAAACAAAATCCAGATTGACAACCATAATTCCAGCTGAACCTCGGCAAGAACTTAACACAAACACACAAACAAAGATCATCCTCTTCAATGGAAAGGGGAACAAATGCAGAAAAGTGTGTCCATATAAATACGAAAAAAAAAAAAAAAAACATAAATCTCCTGAACGAACAATTTCATCATCTCACACTTGTAATAACAAGTGTAGCTCAAATTCAAAAACGAACCTGGAAGATCCATTTGTTCATGATGATGACAGTGACATTGAACCCCCACCATTGGACAATAGCCAACACCGATCGAATTACACTCCACTGGCACAACCTGCTCTCCTCCATAACTTTCTCTCACACCACTCGCGAACCACAAAATTCGACAGAATTGACAGGTAAATCAGATCGAACAAAAACACAAAACGGAAAAAACCCAGATCAAAACTCAGTGACACTCGATCACAGAGCTTCAGAATTTCGATAATGGCGGGGAGGCAGTGGGAGGGACACGCAGTTTGTAGCTTGAATGAGCGGCGCCCATAAGGCCCTTTTCCCCCTTTTTTTTTCGTTTCAACTAAATGGAAAAGTAATTCAGGCGCCGATTTTGTTGCTGAGTTTCGCCGTTTTTGGGTGAAGAAGAAATTCTGTGCGTGTGGGAATTTCTCAGCGGCTTCACGCCTTGAGAGCCTCTTTATTGGTAAATTTCATGTCCAAGTGATGGTGTAAATACACACACAAATATATATTTTTTTTTATTTTCTTTTAATATTGAATATTAAATTTAATGAACCTTTATATATATATATATATATATATATATGTGTGTGTGTGTGTGTGTGTGTGTGTGTGTGTGTGTAACAAATGTAAGCATGTTGGACAATTTAAAAAAATCATAGATTATTGAATACTTATTTGTAAAAAACGTTTTGGTTTGATTTGGTGGCGAGTCATCGTCACAACATACTAATAATTTAAATATTTTTAAAATATGGATTCGATAATAATAAATAAAAAATAACAAAAAAAAATTACTCTTCATCATTGTAATTTATTTCCAACTATTTGGTTTTGAATTTTCTTTCAAATATACGAACAACCCTCAATGTCAAGTATAACTTGTTTTTTTGAGAAAGCGAATTTAGAAAATATTACACGAGCGGCATATTGATGTGGTGAAAAAAATGAAATTAGTCGGATTCCATAGATTAGGGGTTGATAAAAATGCTAAAAGATGTGATAAATGATTTGTGTAATTGAGTACTTATATAGATGTCATATGTACTTGTTTTAATTGTGAGATATGGTTCTAATTAAAAAAATCATTAAAGATTTCTGATTTTTCCATTCGGTCCGACTTATTTTGAGATAAGATAATAATGAATCTTTTAAATGAGATATATTACTAACATAAAATGCGAATATTCGAGTCCTTTAAGAATTGTTTTAACTGGACTTCCTTAAACTTATGTAACAAAATTTTGAAAGAATTTTTTGTAGATATAATTGAATCTGATGTTGTAATTAAAATATAAAATAATTTTTTAGAATGATATATTTTTTGCTATAAGTGTGTTCCCTAAAAATTTGGTAACAATGTATTAGCTTTTTTATTATCAAATTTTTACCAAAAACAGATAAGTTAATTTTAATTATAAACTAAATTCCTGATTTTGTGCGAATTGAATCCCAAGTAATACCAAAATGAATTTTAAATTGTCACAAATCATTATCACACGCATGAGACATTTTCCAATTAAATTTTAAACAACATTTCCAAAACTGGTAAGTCAAATGTTTAACCCATATTTTTCAACTTTCTATTTTTGATTTTTCCATCAACCTCTTTCAATATATAGATAGATATTATATATACTATATAGGTAAAGTTTTAATAAAATTATTCTTGTTTTGCCTCTATTTTTCGGTTACAAATATATATCATTAATATTAATATAATATTCGTGTATTACCTTGTAAGAAATTTATTTTTAAAACTAAATATAAGAAAATTATTTTAATTTTCAATTTATTTTTTGAAAAACTATATTAATATTTATATATAAAATGTCAGCTTATCATTTAAACGACTTACAACTTTGTATAATAATTATTTTTTAACCTATAACACATGACTATGTAGGGAATTTGATTTTTATTATCAAGATAAATAAAATAATTTTATTATTTTGTGTGTACAATATATATGTCAAGTCGAAGTTCATCAAGATATAATTAACTGATATAATATATAAAAAATAATGATAAATAAAATATTTGTTAACTTTTAAATATATCTATAATGTAAGTTACTAATTTCTTTTATAATTTTGAAAGAAAAGTGGGAAAAAATGGGAAAAATGATGCATTATAAATCACGTTTAGAATAGAAATCGATCTTACAACATATTCCCTTAAAAATTCATAAATATCTAGTATATATATTTATCATGTATATTCCATGCCTAGCTAATTTTGGATTGAAATTATATTAAAATTCATCCAAGATAAATGACAAAACATGAGAATTTGTCACATAAAATGTCTTTTGATTTTTCGTTGTATTTTGGAAAACATACTCTCAAACGAGACGAATCTATTTTAAGGAAATTGTGTTTCACCTGCCTTACATTTCTATTATTTTATCAATCTTATTTTGATTTTTACTATAAAGTTCCCAACACTTTATAACCTATACCTCTCTATATATATGATTTACACTTTTGATGACCAATAACATAATTATTTATAACCTAACCTACTCTAGCTGCTCCTTGCACATGTTTTGCAGACCTAATGGATGAGAGAAGACGCAAAGGGAACTTCCCCCAAATATTGCAGAAGTCCACGCTATAATTTGCTCATGCAAAATATATTTCTTATATCCACCAGAATTATATATATATATGGGAGATGCTATAGCTACATGACGGAATTATTCTGTCGAGGTTTTTAACCGTTAGATCATCATATAACCGTCGGAGATAGTTGATCTAACAGTTACAAACTCTGATATATCATGTTTTATCATCATTTGTCCTTAACAAGGAGCAATAGACTAATTATTTTAAGTAAATTAATTTATATTTACATAATTTTTTCCTATCAAAATCTAATTATACTTGGGATAATTTAATTTTCATCATATAAACAGTCTTTAAATAACCCTTGTAATAGTAATTATAATTAAAAATAAAATAGAGTTAAAGAGTATTTAATGGAATGAAATGACTTTAAATGAATCGAGCACCTTTTCTTGTTTGGACATGTTAACCAAAAGTCCAATTGTGTACAAAAATGATAGTGCACATGTGGCGTGTTACTACACCAATTTACCAAAGCATATTGGGAGAATCAATTCCCAAAACTTGTAGTGTCAATTCAATAAGGGCAATGAATTTATAACATATGCAACATGCATGGCACATGGACAAGACTTGGAGCTTCTTAGACAAACACACACACACACACACAACGACCAAAAAGCTGACATTGTGTGACTGCAGGGAGATCGACGAATGTCGACCGCAGCCGCGCCACCACTTGCCGCCGACCCCGTCCAATGAACCCAATTCACGATGGATTTGGCAGAAATCTAATTAGGATTAGCTTTTTGATATACATATATTTAGATAATTTTCAGGGACCTCATTATAATTTCAAGAATTTTTATTTTATTATCAGTTTAGTCGATGGGCAAATATGTAATTTATAAAATATATAAAAGGGTTTTTAATACTTTTTACACACATATATATTATGTATTTTCAATAAAAAATAATATAAGATATTAAATAAATAATATTAAAATACTAGATATTTTGTATAATATAAATAATATTTTTTTTAATTGTTTAGGTTAATCAATTAACTAATCAAATAACCCTATTATTTCAGTTTTGTTTTAGTCTGGAGAATGCACAATAATATTGAATATGACGCACATTAGTGATTGTCAAACACAGTAGTTTTATACCAAATGCAGTTTGTTGCGTTCGAGAATGCACATTAGCATAACATGTATTCCGTACAATGACACCGCTTGACAAAAAAAAAAAAAACATTATACCATTGTGCATTTTAACATATAAATAAAATAATATTTTTATATTTTATCTATATATATTTTTATTTTCAAAACATAATAATATAAGATATTGAATAAATATTCCAGATACTAAATATAGTTTTAATATATAAATAATTCGATAAATTCAAAATAATTTTGATTGAAATACACATTAACAAAAATTTAAAATTGAAGTGTCAATAAATTGCATAACAATGTTAGACGTAGGAATGAGTCCAAAGAAATGAGTTTTTCAATTGAATTTTCAATTGATTTTGACGATTGTAATAACGGATTTTCTAGCTGTTGATATATAGGTGGAAATAGAACTCAAAACAAAATTCGGACGGTACTAAATGGAATCAACAATTTCTAACTATACTTCACATGAAAAACTCGTTCAAACAGAATATTTCTGTTGAAATCATTCAAGCGGAAATTATATTATTGAAATATTTGGTAAAACTTCTATTGAAATATAAAAAAAAATAACAAACATCATAAAGCTTTAAATTAAGTGATTTGAAAAAATTAGAAGAAATTTCACGAGACCCTTTCACCACAAGAAAACGAAGAAATTCAAATGAAAAATTCCAACAGAAATGTATTTCAAAAGATATTCTAATGCTATTATTTTTGCTGAAAATTTTCAATTGATTTCAACAGAAATTCCAAAAAAAGTATTCCATTGAAATGAGTTTTCTATTGGAATTTCAGTTGAATTTTTAACGATTTCAACAACAAATACTCCAACGGAAATTATATATTCCAACGCAAATTCCTACGATAAAAACCGTTGGAATAATAGCAGTTGTAATTATCAAACTACATCTAAAATTCTAATAGAAAACTCATTCCAATAGAATATGTATGTCGAAATTTTCGTTGTATTATATTACCATGAAATTTCTTGTTGGAATATAACCATTTTTTTATAGTGTTTAATTTATTTATTTTTTATTTTTTTTTATCATTATTAACGTGTTGATTACTTTGATGCTCATTAATCCACAGTAAGTTGAAAAAAAAAAGGTAGAGGTTGATTTGTCTGGCCCTAATTGGCTAGAAAACCAGTGGCTCTTGACTCTTGTGTATGATTGACAAAGTCATCTAAAAATAATTATAAATATACTTTAAATTCAGAACTTAATTATTGACTTGTGTGAGCCCATTATTCATTGTGATGGCAATTCATTTATTTCTCATCATCTTGGGAAATTATGGATTCTGGCCCTGTATCAATATCTCACTATAAATGAATATTGATCACTTCAAGTTC